CTAGCTAACACATTTAAATTGTATATTGTAATCAATATATAACAAATAGTCAAATAGTTAAAGACTACTTATAGCCTTATAAGAATTAGCTAAGCTGCTAGCTACGTACAATGTATTGCACACTTGATGCCTCTGTACCAAAAACATTCAAATCAATTTATTGGAACCTAATACACACTAAAGGCAACAAGTTTATATACCAATTTGTCATTCATAGTAAATTTATACTAAACCATGAATAACAATACCTCAATATAAATTAAAGACTGCCACTCAATATATTTAAATATATAAATAAATGCACCTGTTTGTTTCATTGAGAGATGACAAAAAACATGCATAGCCATAAATATGGCAGACCCTGTAGATGAGTACACTTTGCGTGCTTCAAACATTTTAAGCTTGAGTTTTATTGAAGGTGTCCCAGATAACCCCGTTCCAGAGGTAATTCGGGACATTTTCATTTTGCATCTGCCACCTTACAAATAGCATATGGAATTTTTTTCAAGATGACCTTCAATATCCTTTGCAAATACCTTTAAAATGAGGCCTAAACTTGTTTATGAAATGTTTCATGGTAAGAAGTTATTAACGAAAAATGCTCAAAACCATCCCTTATTACTCCCTTTGATGATATTCAAATAATGATTCAAGCAAATGACATAGATTTTCAAGAAAGTATATGACCAGAACTATTATGGTTCTTAAAATTGTAAAAAATTCTTGGTATATTGCATTACATATTGATAAGCACAAGGTTAGCAAATATGCACAAGTAATTATTATATATTATAATTATATTGAATTATATACAATGGGTCTGAAATATTTTCTGGCGTGGTTACAGACTGTGTTAGTCACTGAGATTCACAATGATTCAGTATATATGAATAAAAATATCACCATGAATTATCATGGAGTGAAAGACTGAGAGTTTTTGCAACAGTTCAGATAAAAATCAGAGAGAGTTGCAACAGTTCAGTTCTTGTTGCATTGTTTATCTAAATATATTCTTGAAACAGAACCATTCATAATAGAATGAAATTATCATAGATTAGTGATTTATAAAAGTATCATAATTTAGTGAATCAAAGAAACCTTACCTGTCACTGTTTCTATATGGTTATTGTGATTCATTTATCCCTGGCCAAATCTCAATTCTGTTGATATTTCCAGAGAAGAGGTTCTGAGAAGAAAGTGTGTAGAATAAAGGCAATTAAAATGCCAATTAATCATTCCCTTCTTCACTGCGCCTTCTGCCAATATTCCTCAGTGAGCAGCTTCCAGTTTATGAAGCACTCAATGGAACATGACAAACCCACTCGAATAGTCTGCCCCTTCTGCACCTCCTTCAATAGGCCCTACACCATCAAGCATAAATACAGGTAATATATACTAGTCTTCTGCATCACCTTCAACTGGCCCTTCACCATCAAGTATAAAAAAATACAGGTAATATATACTAGTCTTCTGCACCTCCTTCAACTGGCCCTACACCATCAAGTATAAATACAGGTAATATAAACTAGTCTTCTGCACCTCCTTCAACCGGCCCTTCACCATCAAGTATAAATATGTACAGGTAATATATACTAGTCTTCTGCACCTCCTTCAACCGGCCCTACACCATCAAGTTTAAATACAGGTAATATATACTAGTCTTCTGCACCTCCTTCAACCGGCCCTTCACCATCAAGTATAAATATGTACAGGTAATATATACTAGTCTTCTGCACCTCCTTCAACCGGCCCTACACCATCAAGTTTAAATACAGGTAATATATACTAGTCTTCTGCACCTCCTTCAACCGGCCCTTCACCATCANCGTCAAAATGCATGTAAAATGCTGGTTGACAACCTGCCTGAAGACGCAGTCATTTTTTCAGTGATGCGGCTCACTTCCACATTTCCGGCTGCGTCAACAAGCTAAACATGCACTATTGGTGTGGTGTTAATCCACGTGAGCTTCACCAGAAGCCACTTAACTGTGAGAAAGTTACTGCCTGGTGTGCGATGTAGGTAGTGGGAATAATTGGTCCTTATTTTTTATTTTGTACAGTTACCAATAATGGAGCCCGTTACAGGAACACGATCGAGGAATTTTTTCTTCCAAGACTTGAAGAAATGAACGTTAGGAACGTGTGGTTTCAGCAAGATGGAGCCACAGCACACACAGCACGAGACTCGATGAATTTGTTGCGACAACATTTTCCCGACTGCCTCATCTCTCTCAAAGGCGATCTCCAGTGGCCGCCATGCTCTCAAGATTTGACTCCATGCGATTTCTTTTTATGAGGTTATTTGAAATCTCTGGTTTGGTTTATGTTGATTGACCACAAACCATAGCACACCTCAAGGACAACATTCGCGATGCCATTGCCAACATACCAATCAATATGCTGCAAACAGCGGATACGAATTTAAAAAATCAACTTCATCATCAGTATATGCGCAATGGGGGTCACCATTTATCCAATATCATTTTCAACACTATATGAAAAAAATTGGGATATTGTATTCTCAAATAAAAAAAGTTGAAACAACAATTGAAGTACTTCTGTTTTAATTGACCTTTCAAATAAGTAAGTTTCTCTGGCACATCCTGTAATTTTATATAAATAATTTGGTAGTTTTTGTCACACCTAATAACATTTGAAAATTTTGATTACAAATCATTAATTTCTCAGATTCAGAGATCTTTTATTTATATTATACGTAAATACTTACATAAACTTGGTGTAGTGTGGCAGAAGCTCATCTTTTATGCAAGTTTGATTGAAGACCAGAGTAGGCTTTTTTATTAATCATCTTCTTGTTTGTTTTTTCAACGAGTTAAACCAAATTTCTTGCTGGCGCTGAGAGATCAAAAAGCAGGTTTCCAAATGACATTTTAATAGATTGCGACGTTTCGAAAATACAATTTTATTATCAAGCTGGTGAAGGTTTTACAACACTTTAAATTGAACTTTGGAAATGACAGTAGTACATATCAGTGGTATAGTAGATACAATTTAAAATATTAGCTTAAAATTACTCTGAAGATAATTTCAGCGTCCGGACGAATCCTGTAGTTTGGAGGTTGATAGCTGGAGTCTCAGCTCTTGATAATGAGGGCCTCAGCTATCACCAGTCTTGATGGGTCAGGTCACATATCAAGAGCACAATGGATAATGAAAATATAAAACTTCTGATCTACTACAAAAATAAGAAAATTAAAAACCTTGTAATGAATAATAATCCCTGCAAAAAATCTGGTCTGCTTCAAGAAACTAATGTTTATAAATTCTCATGTAATAAAAAAGGTTGTAGACTTCTTCGAAACATTAACTACATTGGTCTTACTAGCATGACCTTAAGCTGACGACTCACATGCCACCTCCAATCTGGAGGACCTAAGAACCACATGCAGGAGGCTCACAATGAGACCAAGATCCAAGCAACATTGGAGGCATGCACCAGCATTGTTATGCGGTGCCCTGACCCATCAAGACTGACGATAGCTGAGGCCCTCATTATCAAGAGCGAGTCTCCAGCTATCAACCTCCAAACTACAGGATTTGTCCAGTCGCTGAAATTATTTTCAGAGTATTTTAAGCTAATATTTTAAATTGTATACACTATACCATTGACATGTACTACTGTCATTTCCAAAATTTAATTTCAAGTGTTTAAAACCTTCACCAGCTTGATAATGAAAATTGTATTTTTGAAATGTCACAATCTTTTAGAATGTCATTTGGAAACCTGCCTTTTGATCTCCAGGCACCAGCAAGAAATTTGGTTCAACTCTTTGTAAAAACAAACATGAAGATTATTAATAAAAAGCATGCTCTGGTCTTCAATAAAACTTACATAAACCTGTACTTACAGATCACATGTATAGCTAATTATAATACATATTCTTGCTTATCAGTTCCTTGACCAAATAAATTTGTTTTCTGCAGATTCAGGGATCACTTGTTACTGCACTTGGAAGAGGACTTAGCCTGCACCCATTGCCCCTACACTACCAAGAACATGCCCTTCTTCCTGCAACACATGCGTGCCCACTCTGCCATGCACAAGTGCCATTATTGTCCGTTCACAACTCGGCACAGGGAGGAGTTTTACGAACACAATCTACGACATATGGCAAAAAATCGTGTCAAGACTGACCCATGTTTGAAGTGTCCGGCATGTTTAGAAACCAATGCCAATCATGCGCAGACTGCTGTGCATTTACAACTTCATGTTGCAAATAAAGAGTTTAGTTGTGCTCAGTGTGAGGGAAAAGTTATGTTGAATTCTAGAGGATTCAGACGACATATGTTGGTTCACCATCTCCTGTGCTATTAGGTGGAATGGACATAGATTACACTCATAGAATATACAAGGAATATACAGATACATATAATCTGTATATACAGATACATACATAGAATATGCATAGATACCTCTTAGGCCAACAGATACTTCCCATTGGTAGTTTTTTAACTGAAATAGTTCACAAATTCTTTTTCAGCTTGAAGAAATTCATGTCTTATTTTTTGTGATTGTTCAGACAGTGTCTACAATTACAGATGCACTTCTGATAACTGCATATCTCACGTCTAATTATATTAATCTAATTAATGCCTTGGGTTTTATTCCATGACTCTCTTGTTAAGAATGTACAACACCAATGCTCAGTTGCAACATATTTGCAACTTCCTGCTAATTAATAACAACAAATGGCATTTTTTTAAGAAATTAGTTATTTGAACTCAAAGATGGCATCAGCCTTGCCATTATCCAAACTCTCACCCACAAATAACTCAAATTGCATCAACAATCCCTAACATCACATGTATATCACACCCAGAATTCCTAAATTCAAATGTACATATAATGTGAAAAGGAAAGCTATCTCTTATCTGTGTTTGTAAAGATTTTTTGCCATTAAAATATAAAATATATGCTCAATTTTTTTTAATCTATATATGACTTAACATGAATATATTTTATTCTAACTGGTAGAACAACAAAAGGATGAAAATACAAGGGATATTTTCATTTGAAATTCACATGAATGGAACAAAGAGAATTCACCTGAAAAAAACAATATGTCATATTAATGGTTTTAGTTTTCATTATTTTTATTCACATTTACTCATTAAAGATCATTTGATTTTTTACTCTTGTCAAATAATTTAAAATTCCATGAAAAATATTGAAAGTAGACAAGTTTTTGCTTGAATATGGAATTAAATTTTGAATGGAAATTAAATAGGTGGAGTACTTCTGGTTGTCTGCAATCAAAGCAATGTTGGGAAAAAACATATGGCTACATTTTATTCCTTGTGTCTTCTTAATAGGTCTACTTGCATTTTCATAAGCAAAGTTAAAATATATTAGGGCACTTAAATAGAACATTTTTGTGGTTAGCCCAGTAAAATGAGGTGATTTTAATACCTAGGGCTGTACCATCAAAACTTGCTCAGGTAGCGGCCATTGGACACATAGCAGCCAATTTATGGTAGGCGATTGGCGGGTTTAGCTTGAAAATCCATCGGTGATTGGCTGAAGAGGTTCCTAACTTAACCATTTTTGTTAGTGAGCCCTTGCATCAAAATAGAATAGAAGTGTTGGCACTGGAGAAATAGGCCCATGGCCTTTTGCTGATTCTTGTACTTTTTATGACTATACCATACCAGATACGGCCTTTTGAACCCAAACTTTCCATAACTACCGATTGATTGAGATAGCTGCTGGATTTATTGCAAGGCCCATAAGGTGCTAGACTTTTCAATATTGAACATATGCTCCTGCATAGCTTCATCTAGTCTGTTCTTGAAGGCATTCATACTCGGAGTAGCAACGATGCTATCAGGGAGGCTGTTCTACATGTCAGTGACTCGAAGCAAGAAGAAATGTCGCATGGATTTGTTGTCGCTTATACACAAGCATACCCCACAGACGGGGTTTGTACCGGTCATTGAAAACCTGGAAAGTCATGGAATTTAATTTTTCATTTCCAGGCCTGGAAAGTCAGTGGATTTCATTTCAGGTTATGGAAAGTCATGGAATTTGCAAATAAATGGAGTGAAAAAGGAAGTGTTTCTCTGTGCTGCTTGTGTTTACTGTTTGTGGAGTCTCTTGTTTCCTGCGTTCTGATGAACTAATCGCGTGAGCTTGGTCACCAAGCTCAGTGGCATTGGACAACTTTTGATGTGCAGTGGCAGCATTCCAGCTTCAGCATACAATTTCTACATCACCACGCCTGAAAATTGTAAATTTCATGACTTGTGGTTAAGGATAGAAGCTTATCGTAACTGGCTTGCTCATCATCCAAAGCATGAAGGTATGGTGATATGTACATTGTGCTTGAAAGACTTCCATGTGTCAATTATGGATGAAGCTGTTTGAAGAGCCATGCCAAAGTCAGCATACCCACCAAGTTAGCTAAGCAACACAGCAAAGCACAGTCACGCATTTCCAATTTGTGGTCCGCTGACAGCAATGCTACTGCAGTTTCTTGCTCCAAAGTCAGCATTTTAGTGTCTACGGCCACTGTGAATGAGAGACTGAAAGACGGAGAGCAGGCCTGTATCCACTGCTAAAGCCACTCCCACTGGTGAACTGACTAGCTTTGTAACAAAAGATGTTCTGATGTCTGAAATTTGGTAGACATTGAAAATGGTTACAGCTCTCTTTTCTTTTCATAGCAACATTGGCATAAGTGATTTATTCCGCCTCATGTTTCCTGGCAGTTCAATAGACCTTATGACCTTACCTTATGATGAGTTTGGGACTTCTAGTCCCTGGTCACGCTGATGCACTGACTGAAAGCTAGCAAGATTTCACTCAGCAAAACCTAGGCAAGATATATCATCACTTTCGGCCTGGGACCTTGCTTTTTGGATATGCTGAAGCAAAATGCTCTCACTGCATGTGTGCATTACTCAATCAAATCTTGTGAGCTTTAGTCAAAATTTGTTGTGATTTGACACATTGAATTCATATTGATACCAGTGTGGGCTTGATTTTCAGATATGTGTCATTTTTGTTCCTCTGTGTCTGCCTACTCTATGCATTTAGACGTTTGCCATTTATCAACTGTAGGTGATAATAGAATCTGCACGGATAGCCTTTCAGTCATGCTAAACCTGTCATATACAAGTTTTGGGAAATGATATTGATGGTCATGAAAAGTCATGGAATTTGATTTCTAAATACTGGTACAAACCCTGCATAAAATCCTACGTTATTGTTCATTAAAATACTTATCGTGGTCATTAAGTATGTATACTGTTAACTGTGCATGGTCTGCATTTAGTAATGTGGACATTGAAATGATATGCGATATTGTCTTGCCATTAAACGCTGTGAAGTAAATTCTTGGGAAATTTACGATCTTGCACAGACATGTATAACACATTTTTAATTTTATAACCCAATGCGTAGGGCCTCTATGCAGTTAATGCATTCATAGGGAAATTTGACAAAATACTCAGAATTACTAGAGCCAAAAGATAATGAAAGCCCAAGCCTGGATTTAAACCGAAGCAGATGGCTTATAAGTAAAAAAAAATCTCGCATGTTGGGAATGTTAGAAAGTGCTTAACAATGTGTCACTGTGAAGTCATCTAAACTAAAGTGTAGTTAGTAGTAATGCAGCATAGTAAAGTAATGTCTGCTAAATTTGGCTTGTCGCCGAGTAATCACTAACGTTTACCAATAATGTTGTGGGAAGAACCTTTCAATGATCCTGCAAGGAAGTAGGATTTTCCTACTAGGGATCCTGCAAACCCCCCTATCCTGAGATGCAAAGACATGTGAAATCGAAGTATAAAATTAAAGAAAGAGTTTAAATTTCAGTGTAAACATTACAAGTTACGAGTAGACTGTATACTGCCTAAAATAATTCACTAATTTAATCTCATTAAAGGTGTTAATTGATATTTTATGGTTGGATTAAGTGCACTCCTAAGGTTTATCATGTTAATTATATGTTTGATTTTCAGACTGGGTAAAAACAGACTTACTGGTACATACCATCATTTGAGGTTGACTAGACTCCCGTACCTCGGCTTTGCACTGGTTTCTTCTCCTTTCCTTTGTCTGTACCTACATTTTTCTTCTTATTGTGGATTTGTGTGTCTGGTCTAATAAATTATTTAAAAAAAAAACAAGAAAATTTTTGAATAAAAAGGTGGATTGGGATGGTTGTGGGGGAGGTGGAGACCATCACTAATTCCTTGTTTTTGTGACCATTTGCAACAAACAACCTTTGGCCCACAACATGACTGATTACACGTTGTACATTGAGTCCTACTACAATGTGAAATTTCAAACTTAAATTTACACCAAACACAATACTGTGAATCTATTCTTTTTCTGCCAATGTCAAAATGGAAAATGCATTTCAATAATAATTTATTTTAGAATACTTTCCGAGTTATGTACTCATGGACAAATCCAGATTTTATCCACTCCAAAGTCCAAGCCGTGTAGTCAGGTTGTGGGGGGGGCGCATGGCCATAGAACTAGACCAGCAAATTAACTCTCAAATCAGCATTATCAGCCCTGAAGCCATCATCAACCATCTGAATGCTATATATGCCTATAAATATTGTCATCCTGGCGCCTAAGCAGCTGTAGTTAATTAGTTAATTGACCTATCTGAACACACAAACTTTAATCCAACACTGGCATGCATCCCAGGTCAGGTGGGTTGGCCACTGATTTGTATCGCCTAGCCTGTGTATTTGTCAGCCTAGCCCAGGCAGGCTGGGTTGAGCAATCGCTATTTGCAGGGCTTAGATCTGATAGATCAATTTATATTTTCTATCATTTATCACTGCTGGAATGAAAACTTGGATATTGTCTGCTTGCTGCAAACTTGTAAGCTCGGTAAAAACTACAACTGTTTCCAAATTCCAGAAAAGATTCTTATGTTTTCTTCGCAATTTTTTACAACAAAGTTTTATAATGTGTTTTAATTCCAAACGGCAATCATTCCCATAGGCTATGTCTATGAGGCAGCCGCCAAGTCTAACTATGGTGATATTAAAAAGGTTATACTGATTGGCACTTGAAGCTTGAGATCATGCTATGATTATTGCCATCATGTCTGACATGAATGGAATTCTGTCTGTCATGTCTGACATGAATTGACCAGGCTGGAATTCTACGATAGTGCATAAAGTGTTAGTGATTAGTGACTAGGTAAACTTGTAAAGTGTCTTTCATTTTTGGGTGACGTGGATACATACCCTTTATTCCTTTTGAGACCCTTTACAATTCCAGCTGTGATTATATCTGAGTTGTGACTGGAAGAGTCCAAGAACAGGAAGACCTAATAAATGATTGTTGCATATAGATATTACATGGGCAAACAAACTATATGCAATGGTTATTGGTAAATTACTAAATGATAATTTACCACAATAGTTCATGTGTCAACCTGTATGCTAAATTTTACAGTGCATTGGTAACTTAGTGTAACTAATTAAGATTTTGAAGTTATGAAAGAAGTCAAGAAGAAAGATGAATCATAAATAATTTAAGTGCTACAAAAGTTTAGCAAAATCAACAGTTTATCATCAAATGGGGTACTAAGGAAAGGGTGGGGTAAATCAGGACAGTTGTTGCACATTTCATAGAAATGTTGTTGCAGCTAAACTAATCAAAATATTGCAAAACTAAAAATAGTGGTGTAAACTTGAATGTTTTACTATCTATTATGCATAAAGCAAGTTAAGAAATCATACATTTACTATCCTAGAAAATCGCTGAATAAAAGTGTGAAAAGTGCGATTTTGGAAAAGTACCTCTACTAAGGTCTGGAGCAAAAAAAATATATTCTCTACTAAAAAATTGTACTTACATAAAAGTTGCACTCAGGTGTCAGCTTGAATATGCGATTGACAAAATTTGCCTATCTCATTCCAAGAAAGA